TTATCGCGATCTGAACGGGATTGCTCATGAAAGAATCCTGCACCAAAATTAAGTAAAGTAAGGCATGCATCGCTAAAAAAGAATATCTTTTTACCATAGAGCGGATTTCGTGACTGTGCAAAAAACACATTCGCGTGTAATGTTACACCTTTATTTGGAATCACTGGAAGGCAAGTTTCCGTGAGCCTGCCTTGTCCGTGCCGTTATCCGTGCACAACCATACAAAATCTGCTCTATATTGTCACGTGATGTAGCACGTGCTACTCACTCACTTCCTGTTAGTTTGAAATGCACAGTTTGTAACAGTGTAGTGAATAAAGATGTTGTAACCCGAACGATACATATATGAAACTTGTAACTCCGAAAGGAGTTGTGAAATAAAATAGCTCGATTTAAAAATCTAAGTCAAATAGATTGTATATTGAATAATGATATAATTCTTCAAGAGGTGAGATTATTCCTACAAATAAGACAATACCCATTCGACAATATACACTTAATGACTGTTCCCAAGGGAAACGGTTAGTTTTGTTTCCGAGAATCTCAATGTTGACATTGAGATTCGAGGGAAACAAAAACTAACCGTTTCCCGAGGGAACAGTCATTAAGTGCTTTGTTATATGCTTACCTATGGCGTGCATTATCTCGTGTTGTATCGTGCCRACATTATTACATCCATTTCCAAGAGAAATGGTTTGTGCTCCTGCCTTAAAATACTTCTTTCCCACTCTAGAAGAGCACCTTAAACAAATAAAAAACAGAGTATTTAAAAGGGAGAAAGCTTCGACTCCAGGTTGCGAGCAAAGGCTTTTTCAACGGAGATTATGTTCAAAATTATGATTAGGCAAATTGCAACATATTCTATGTCTTCGAGAAAGGCTAACTGACGTCTGAAAGGCTAATAAAAWATAGTCCTTTATACCCTAATGACGATGTGAAGAAGTACCATGGGATTTAGACCAATTACAATACTTCAGACGTTTAAAATTAAGCAAAAGCCAAGCATAACATAAATACGTTAACAAAAGAACCGAAAATWCCAAGCGCACGGTTCAGGCAATTCAGGACAGTTCAAAAGCGTTGACGTTCTTTATAACTTTATTAGTGACGTTGGTCAATTTTTRAACACTTTATAAAAGTTTAATATTGCATAATATCAGTTTAGTTCAATTATGATACAAAATTATCAAAAATTAAAGTTTACCCTGAATCCTTGTCGAAGGTGATATAGTTTTTGTCTATACCCGGTCGATACGGAAYAAATTGAAGACACGTGTACTTGTGAAACTCTGCAATTGCTGTCATGAGGTTCTGTTTTATGTGAGCTTAACATAGCAATGAAGTTGTTAATATTATTTCATTAATAAATATTATTCAAAGCTAATTGATTACAATAATACACATCA